AGAACCCTTTTTTCTCTCACCATATGCGTACTCAAAACATGAACCGCAAAAACATCGTTCCGTAGCGAATTACAGCAACTGCAGTAGAATATGCAATATGCTGCAACTACATGTAAATGTGTTAACTTCTGTTTTTGTTCGCTCCCCACTTTGATTAAAACTTGCAACTCCGAAACTAATTTACCGCTCCGCTTTGTTGGATCCTGAATCTGATAAATTAAGCTGCACCTTTGTTTGAGTCAAAGGATATTTTAGTTTACCCAACACGTTATTTTTGTACGTCAATTGATGTTTTTCACTTTTACTGTAAAAATTGTGACACCAAACATTAAGTGCACATTTATGCGACACGAATACCAGGGCCCGGAATGTTGGCAACTGGCTGGTGCAGAGGCTCGCTGACAACGACGAATAATTTAAACCTTGGTCAGTCGTTGTCAGCAGGCCGCCAGAGCTATACATTATTTTACCAAATTGTGAACTATATTTAAATATACTATATAATATTACTTTAATGTTAAAGTCGCGTCATAGTACGAACTGAGTGAATGAATAGTCACAAAGCTGCCAATAAAACATCACAGTTTTAACATTATAATAAGCTTACTTTGACCGCGTAATGGTACGAAAAGTCAAATAAGGTTAAAGTAATATTGTTTTAAGAGGTTATGGTTAACCAGATAAGTATCTGGTGAATTGCATATACTCAACACTACCACGAAGAGCGCCTAAACCTTCCATGTGGCTAAGTTGTTAATATAAACTAAAAATACAAAGGGACCTAAAATTGAACCTTAACGGACGCCCATGCTAATTACGAAGCCCGATACATCAATGGTACGGTCCGATCCTTTATACGATAACACTTAATACAATTTGTGAAGGTTGAGGTCACGACCTGCTACACTGTAATGAAGTCCTGATTATTACTATATATTCCTGACTGTAATTTAATTAATAATTTAATCAGTATTAATATTTTTGTATTAACGTATTATATGAATAAAGAACTGAGCTGAAAAATTCCGAGTCACTAGAGCAATGCTCGGAGTTACGACGCTTGGGTCGGAAATAGGACCAAAGCTAAACATGTTATGGCTGTCGTGGCGAAAAAAGGTGAACGTCGGCGGGGCATATTGAGAGAATGGACGAGAGACGCTGGACAGTGCGAGTAATTGAGTGGAGACACAGGGCGCGGCAGACCACCGCAGCGCTGGATGGACGATATCCGACGACCCTGATTTTGGGACTGGATGAGTCGGGTACAGGATCGTCAAGAGTGGAAGAAGAGGAAAGAGGCTTATATCCAAGACTTGATAATAAAACGGCCGCCATGATGATGTTAATGCTGATTGATCGTTAGAGTAAATTTCTGAACAGTTGATTCTATTTATAAAGATGGAATTTGAAAAAAAAAGGAAGATGAGATTTACTTTGGCTCGCGGGTTTAGAAAATAGCAACGAGTTCCTTGGGCAATTACGTTGATATCGTTTGAAATAAAGTGATTTAGCACATTGCATAGCATACTTCGAGTTAATTGAAAAAGACCATATATTTAAAAAAATCATGATAAGAAATCCGTAAACAGTAGTAAAAATTTTATGAAGAACACGATATTTTTAAATTTATTTAATGTCGCTATGTTTGACCACCATGATATTTAATTATTTTTGTGAAATTACTCCACTAGTTTATTATAATGATTAATACAAAAAAATCCTTCGATCCGGTTGAATTCAAACCAACGTCTTCCAGCAAACCATTTAAGCCTTGGAACGAACTACCTGGACCTTACGAATTTTTCTATATGCTTGTTGCAGATCTTCGTTTTCGGTTTCTGTGAGAAATATATTTCTCACGATCCGTAAATAGTTTTAGATTTTTGATTATTTGGGAAAATAAATAGAAAACCAAACGAGGTTAGAACCTACAGTTAGCATAAATATTTAAAAAAAGAATTGGCTCAAATTTTAATTTCTTTTTATCGGGTTTTGGTACATTTTACAACTTATGAACTTATTTTGAAGAAAAATACCAACGTTAAAAGAGATCTGACGAGTGGCGATCATAGTGGATTTATGTGACCTTCAAAGGGAGAGTGAGAGATTTTAGTACAAGATTTTAAATATCTAAGCATCTCTATTTGGTAACCTCATGACAAAATTGTTAGACATATAACAAAATGATAACAAAAAATAAAACAATCTTAGATAAAACACAAAAAAAGAGAATTACATTTAAAATGTTACCAAAATGGTATCCACTCAGATCTTTGTAACTAGACTTGGGAAAACATCTCCATGAAAAATACATGAAAATCAAAAGTAAAAAATGCGAGTATACAATCGACGCCCTAAGGTACCTGACCTCACTAACCGTATGTTTGGTTCTGAGTAGATCAGTATGTAGATAGGGTGTTAAACAAACTTAACCTTTAACCCGTGTGCCGTAAAATTCATTTTGATATGACTTCCTTATTGCATCATTAGTGATTAACGTGTTAAGAAACTTTTAAAGCCAATTTGATTTTTGTTTACATAGTAATACCTTATATTTTTCTGTAGAATTCGTAAGAAAGCTCTCAGATCCAAAAAGTCGGCTAGGGGCTTAGACTAGATCTAAGGTCATCGACTGTACTTGTGGAATAGGTGGTGTATAATAAAATAAAAACTGATTGGGCTTGTATTGTGTGTGCGTAAGATAACTTAGATTTATTTCATTATATCTTAATCTAATACAATAAGAAAAGAAACATTGAATAGATAATCTTCATAGTAAAGCTATATACATCTTAATCTTAGAACCTAATCGTGTAGTTGCGATGCCCAAACTAAGTACCTGTATTTTAGGTATCTTAAAAACAGATTTTCTACATTTATGAAACAATAAAACAGTTATTAGTAGTTGCATAATATAAATTAATGGATATATAAATATGATTATGAAATAGCTTCTAGTAAACCTTCTGTATCATAATTTTATTCTCAAGCCAGGATTTGACTGTCTTTTTACATTGTATCTTATTCCTGGCAAAGTGGAATATAATTTAGAGAAATATGCCAAGAATCTATGCGAGTCGTGCGGTGTGGTGTTGTGTACGAGACGAAAAGGTATCAAATCGTCTGTGCTTGGTTAAAATCACGGATTGTGATATAGTAATTGAGTGCTTTTTCAAAATTATTTGTAGGATAAACAGTTGCCGAACAGAGAGGACATCGCACTTGTTTAAGAATATGTGGGTTGAGTAATCCAGAGAGCTCTCTGCACTCTTTCTAGGTTTATCGGGGTGGTCTTATGTTTTCCGCCTCAGGGTGTACTTTGTGGTTGGGATATTAAATGTCAGTAGTAAAATGGCACGTAAGCACATCACGACTACTAGTGCTGTATTTACTATCAAAAATGCCAAAGACGAATAGTTTTTTTCTTTCAGTGGCATTGTAATGCAATACCGGGTTTATAGTTATATAAATTGATACAAAGCCAATATTCTCTGACGATTGAAGCGAACATGGCGTTACACAGAACGTTCCGTCGTGTACAAATATTTGACGCTGAAGCTAGCGACTGTCAACTCTTGGAACTTGTGGAGATACTAAATTTAATCCATTATGGCAACTATTGTGTCTTAATTTAAATCGCATGTTTGAGGATACACTTAGAATAGTGTTATTAATGTCTTCATTCATAATTCAGTTATTAAAAAAGGAATAAATATGTTATTGAAATTCATTATTAACATTCTTTGGCAATGAGTGATGTAAAGCATTACTTAATTTATTTTTTTCTCTATCTCTTGTCTTATTGACTTGAGATGTTACGGAAAAAGATGGTGCAACATAAATTGTTAGTAACTTAGAGCCTGGAGCAATTTTTTACTACATTGACAATATAAGCTATGGTTGGAACAGGGTGTTCCAAATGAGCAGGTAATTATCTACAAATAGATACGAGCATTGATTTATAGTAGTTAAAACCATCAAATATTAATTAAATATTTTTTTATAATCCCTAATTCCCGGAAATAGTTTTACTGCATCGTAGGGATAAACTATTAACCTAGACAGTTGAAGTTGGATTTTAAAGTAATTCTTGCAGACGCCGCGCGCCCTTTGATTTCGCATTCTGCACGGTGAGCTTATTTTTTAAGTCTACGTGGTACAAATACAGGCGCCATAGAGAGATGAGGTTGCTGCGGGGAGTGGTTTGCATTCCATAGATATAAAAGTAACTACTCGTACAATATCTGCATTAGTTTAAAGAAACTTTAGCCAGTAGTTCATAAAATATGATTACTTTGGCTAAAGGTCTATCTACTACATTTTGTTTTTACTTGGCGACACCAGAACTACTTTAAAATTTAACTTCAGCTTCTTAGATGAGTAGTTTTCACATAAAAATGCAGTAAAACTGCTTTCCGAAATTCGAAAAAGGTAATGATGATATTTAACAGTTTTAACCACACCATGTCATTCTTTCTTTCTTTCATTCCTAAATTCCTATAGGTTACTATATAGATATTTATCTACTCATTTGGCACACCCTATTCCGGCTTTTGATAATAAAGGAGAAAAGGGGTGCGCTTCATTTGCGTGAAAAACAAATAAACTTATTTTAAATGATATAACGCTCTTGTAATACAATTTAGTAGCAGTATCGTAATTTAGTAGAGTAGCAGTAGAACTCGTAGTGAAATAGTTTGCACAGAGCAGTACTACCACCTTATTTATTTCTGCCGCCATGCAATAATGTTGAACATTACTGTATTCCGGTTTTGAAGGATAAGGGTAAATAAATGTACGTCGTTCCATCAACAAAACGAGTTTTTTTTTTTTCATTTCACTACTGTCCACCATTTCTATCGTAGTAGTTTAATTCATTTTTAAATTTCTTCTCATAACTGTGTTTTTTGGTGTGCGACAATTAGTTCTGGTATTTAAAGTATTTTTTTAATGTCCATGAAGACGAATCGTTGTAGTAATAATTTTTTTTCCTTGTCCAGTGATAGCCACAGCGCACAACATTACCAAGTTGGAAGTCCCTCAATATGGCGATCCTCGCGAGGAGGCTCGTCTGGAGTGCCACTACGTTAACGAGAAGGGGGACCCTCCGTTGCACTCCGTCAAGTGGTACCGGGACTATAACGAGATTTTCCGGTTTACACCTGACCAGCAGGTTAGTTAGAGCTTTTAAGGTGTTTTTTCTTGTCCAATTTTAAATATATTTCTTTATATAAACCTTTATATTTAAATAACCTTCAACTGCCTCCGTGGCCGAAACGTTACCATGCCGGACTGCCACGCAGAGGTCCCAGGTTCGATTCCCGGGTCGGCAGAAATATTTGTATGGCCTATATTTTTTCTCTCGTGAGTTTGGGTGTAATTTGTGGTTGTCTATGTGTGTGTCCATGGCCCCCGCGACAAAGGGTTTCCCTAGTGCGGGGCTATGTCGAGTGTGTTAATTATTATTATTATTATATCTATGTTACATACAATTATTATTAGTATTTATGGCATTGTCCGCTATCAAAATCATATAATATACAATGTCAAAGAAATGTAACACAGTCCACATAATTGGATTAATATTACGGGTGCTTTTATAAGCAGAACTCCTTGGCAAAACAGTAGGAGGTATGACTTTGTTAACCGACTTTAAAAAAGGAGGTTCTCAATTGAACTATATTTTTTTTGTGTATGTTAGGCGATTTCTCCGTCATTTGTGAACTGATTTTGATGATTCTATTTTGAAAAAAATATTCCACCTCTAAAGGTGGCAAACTAGGGGATGACAAATAGATGTAATTCCACGAACTTTTAAGGTCGGTTTTTTTAATAAAAAAATTATTTTGGAAACAGTGATCGGTTCTCAATAGTCAGTTTTAATTTTATTTCATTCACTTTGAAAAACTCTTCAGAAAAGTCTGTCACGCTATGTTTCTAACAATTACGCTTCTCCGGCAGCCCCCAATTCGAACATTCAACACGTCTACGGGAGCACCGCCCAGGGGATCTTGCACGATGCACAACTGCACGATCTTAGTGATTCTGCCCATGAGATACAACACGCGTATCACATTCACCTGTGAGGTGTCCACTGAAGGACCGAGGTTTGCTGTTGTTAAGCAGACCAAGAACCTGACTGTAGCTGGTGAGTATTTCGTACTATATGTAATCGTGGATAGACGAAGAGATCATAAAAAGGAGGAGGTTCTCAATTCTGACCGTCTTTTTTTTATGTGTGTGTGTGTGTGTGTGTGAGAGTGTGTGTGTGTGTGTGTGTGTGTGTGTGTGTGTGTGTGTGTGTGTG